TCCAGTTAAAATATAAATGGTTTTTATTGGTAAATGATGTATTTTTTTAAATGTCAGGTCCCATATTATACTGTATATGAAAAAAACGAATACGATAAAAACGTACAAATATAACACGTAATATTATTGGTTATTCTAGAATATAACCGATGATAAGCATTAGCTTTATAAAATATTCTTCGTAAATAAATATCGAAATAGAAAAAATTATATTTCTATACAATGCTGTTTTAACGATATCGATTTGTTATCACGAGATTTACAAGTGTGTATTTTTCTTACGTATAAGTTAATTCGTTTAGATACATCTTAGTACATTACCGCAAAATTGAACGACAACGATTTATGGTCGGCAATCGATAATAATTTCGATCGAAAACCCACAAATAATATTATTTCTACACCGACTATTGTAGGAAATATTTGTATTATTATATTTTTATGATAAATCTACTTAACGGAAATCTATGATTGTTGTAGCAGAATGGTCTTGAACGAATTGTAAATGAAAAATCGAATATGATTTGAAAACTGAAATGAAATTCGTACTGTTTTATTAAAGTAAACTAGATATGTACTATAAATTGGTAAACCTACCTAAGCTTGAACATTTCCATTAAAACTTCTTTTTTATACGTACATACGTGTATAGTAGTATGAAATATTGTAATGGTCGTCATCATTGTAAATTGTATCACAGACGATAAAACTGTTGCTTGATAGTAAAGCTCGAGACTTATTGCACTTAAATTCAAGAAAAAAGCGTTTTAAACCATAAAACAATTTTTTTATAAATATTTAAAAAAGTAAAAAGTAGAAAGGCTTTTCTAATGACTCTAACTTGATAAATACAATTTTTAAACGCTGCACAAATTATTAACACAAATTAATTTTTTTACACGATTTTATTTAATGAAAATTACTTTTTTTATCATTTATGTCGTATTATAAAATTGTATTTAATAAGTTTGAGTAGTTAGATAGGGGACCTTTAAAACCCAATTATCAATTGTTAGAATAATATATTTTCGAGGTTCTTTTTTTCAAGTATTTTTCGGCAATTTTAAGCACTTTTTTGTGAATTTTAAGTGCAGTAAGTACTGATCTCTGCTTATCAATCATTACTTACTTGTTTATTAATTATTGTGACTCGTAATTCATCTTATCTTTTTAACGCGTTAATTCCAACAAGTATCTGATGATATAATGTCTAAAATTAAGTACCTGGGAACACATAATAGTGGATGATGCTTGTCTATATAATGTCCTAAATAATTCAAATCTACTAAATTTAGTATATCGTGTAATTTTTGTTACAGTTTTATTAATCGTTCTTAATGTACTAAAACACGTAAACATTAATCTCAAATTGAGTTGAAAAATGTTTGAACTAAGTATAAAATATAAAATAAAATGTTTTATAACATAGTAGAATGGATTGTATTTAAATTGCTTATTTTAGTATCAAATAGATTTTTTAAATTTTATTAAACTAGATAAAATACTGATTTTTTAACGATTTATAAGTAATAAAAAATTTAGGTACAAAAATAATATATTTACTAGAAAGACATTTAGTTTAAAAATGTATCCTATGATAATGGAGATGAGTGCAGCTATTGCAGTTATAGGTAAAAAGTTGGGAAGGTAGTATAGAGGGAAGATTTACGATTAATCATTACTTAAAAAAAATCGATTCTAAGCGGAGGTCGGTTAATAGTACTACTTTGTCAACAATATAAGTAGTATTATGGTAAAAGAATTATATAAGCATTATATAATTTCTTTAATAATATTTGTTTAAAATTGTACCCATCTTTATGTTTTTCTTACGTTTTTCTCGTGTTTTTACCCAGTTTTTCCCATTTATTAGGAAAACTCTTCCTCTTTAAAGTACCTCCCCAGTAAGGTTAGATTTTTTTTAAAAAAAAGTACTATCAATACATATTAAAACATGACCTCCCACTAAGTCAAATTTCCTTTTAGAAAAATTCCTATTTTTGTAAATCGAAGCAAAATTATCGGTAGGAAATTGTCCATAGAGAGAAAAAATAAAATAAAAAATAAACATTATTGTGAAATCAAAACTTTCCTCGCTCCACTCAGAATCTACAATAAAATTTTCATGAAAATTTTTCATGAAAACGTACATTATTATACCTTTACAAATGACTGCCGATAATTAAATATTCATAGAAAAGCGTATAGTAAAAATTATAGACCTAGTGACTTATTGTCTATAAAGTAAAAAAGGCCGACATACTTTACACGATGGGCCGACCATTATTTTAGATGAGAAATAGGGAAGGTAGGATATATATTTTTATGAATGATTTAACTGAATTGATAATTAAGTACGATTCTAAGCGGAGTTTTAAATGCTCGTAATATACACGATTTTCGTCGAAATTTTTATATAAAAAAATTACATTATATTCAATTTTTTTTTTTTACTACATAGTACAATTTATAATGAACCTCCGAAAAAAATTATATAAAAAACTCACGAAATTAAAATGTTTATTATAGCTTAAAAATGGCTCAAATGTTTTGAAAATTTTACCACTCTTAGAAAGGACAAGTTTTATTTCCAAATCTCAAGTATCTACGGTCATTAGTAATTGAATAACAACAAAAAAACAAAAATTAACTCATTATTTTTTTCGTTTTTCCAATCATTATAAAATTCGCTTGGAAAATTTAAAAACGACCTTTTAAAATACTTGTCGGATAAAAATTTTTTTCAGAAAAGATACTACACTTGAAAATCGGAGGAAGATATTTGGTAGAAAATTTGTAAGCTTAAAATCTAAAATGGTAATGAATAATAGGCACCTATGCATTTTACGTAGTCATTTATGTGTTAGTAATCTTTAGGATTGTGTTTAGGCCATTTAATCAATGGTTTTTGGTTACTGTCTACTAAACTATTCCTTAACTATTCCTCGTGAAAGTTTGAATTAAATAAAATTGTTTTAAATATGTAATTTATTTATCTGTTTTAGTAGATTTAATAGAAGATATAAAAAAAAAAAATTTTTCTTCGAGTTCATTCCTATAATTTATCAAGTTTTAAAATTTAATTTTTCATTGTTTTCTTTATTGTTCATTTCATTATAATATAATTAATAATTATAGTAAAAATAGTTTCCATTAAGGTATTTTAGATAAAACAACGACCCGTGACGTACACGTTATAATTAGGTATATTTAATTTTGAAAATAATTTTTAATCGTGAGTTGAGCTATTATAACCGTTTATAGCTACACAATGGAGAGTTTTTTACTTCACTTTTGTTTTGTATAGTGAAAAACACCAACAAAACCTTTAAAGGAATATTTTTTTTTGAATTATTAGTAACTAAAATCACACTTTATTTTAGAAAGGTAATTTTTTTTTGATTATTTTTGATTTTGAGAAAATATTTAATCAAAAATAAAAATATATATTTTAAAAATAATCGAAATTCGAAATCAGTTAAGTTATATCGTTTACGAATATAGACAAATGAAAAAAAAAAATAATAACTTCCAGTTTTCTTAAACTTTAACAAAATAATCGAGACAATAATCAAACATTTTTTGTGGGTAGTAAAAATGTTTAAAATTGTTCAATCAAACACGAAATTGGTATATATAGTTACTTCAAAGGAGTTATGATCCCCAATTATTTTTTGAAGTTAACGAGGATAAATCTTGAAGTTTACGACACGTGAGTTTCAAAATCAATTATACCTAAAACTGTATTTCAACTGAAAATATTACATTGGATATTAGACATTATAGATATTATTATACTCTGATTAGAATGATGTTTTTTTAAGACAATAATTCAGTGTCCTGTGTATTTAAAATAATTTTACCACCTCTAATCGTGAAGATCTTTATAATTTCTGCGAAAATAAAAAAAAGGTACTCACCGACAACTTTCAGATTGATAAAAATGCTTTTCGGTGGATGCGACGATATTTGACACTCGTACAAACCAGCATCTCGTAGTTGGACGTACTTTATCTGAAGTGTCCAATCCTAAAACAACAATATAATATATGTTTTCATTAACCTAATAATATAACCGCAAGTGATACAATTATTTTGTTTCTACAGAATTATTCAGGCACCGAACTAGACGAGCATATTTCTGCAGTTCAGGGTGTGTGATGTTTAATGTGGTCGAAAAACCCGGCACTGAATGATGACGAGTTTTACCACCATGCTTCGGATTAAACCATAACCGACTCAACTATCTAAAATTTTTCATACCAGCAATTCTTATCACCACTACCTACCAATAATCTGTAATACAAAGGGTTTAATAACATCCTAATTTAAACCGTATTAACAATATGATAATATCGAAAGGTATATTATACCAATATTATCGTCTCTACAGAGTGTTCTACCCATTGGATACACCCATTTCAATATCTCTGGAGGAAATAAAGATAATCAAATTATGCTTTATTTTTTGTACTTATTTACCGAAATACTACAAATATCAAGTATACAATCAAGTATATATAAAAATAATTTTTTCTATTTTATAATTTTTGAAAAATGTGAAGATAGCCATTTTATGGTTTTATGGAGTTTATTCTTCTAAAAATATTCACGAAACAACATTTTATTTGAATTTAATTCGTAATTTTTAATACATTTTTTGAAGAATACAGTCATTTATTACACTTATAGCATTTGCTTTTTTTTGGCTTGACATTAAACCTATATTAGAGCTCAATAAAAAGAAATGTCATGTTACAACGATGAACAAAGTTATTATTTAATTGTTTTGTTTGTTTCAATAGTTAAAAAAAATAAAATGTTTTTTACTAATATTATTTGTTTTTGTTAACATATTTCCGGCTTTGTGATTGCACTTTGTGCTTATTTCTAGGCTTAAAATTAAGTTTTTTAAGTGTTTTCTTAAGCGATATTTTTTTTATTGATTTTAAGAGCTGTACGTTTGAAATCCTGTTTATAACCAATACGCATTTAACGCACATTTATTTTTTCATCGTCCTTAGAAGCTTTTTCGTATATAAATTAATTAAAACGTTTCGCTCGTATTTCGTCCTCCACGAACAACTTTGAACAAATGGTAACGGTCGCATCTGCCGTTCGCTGTCCAGTCTGGTATACCATCCGTCAAACTGTTGACGAATCGTTGTGGTAACTATACACTTTACTTGCCTTGCAAAAACGTTATACACGGTGAACAAATCACGTAATGAGTAATTTCGCATATATAAATTAATGACATAAATATTTAAATACAGTATATAACTTTTATGGATTAGCATATTATTCATTCCGACAATATTATAATGATACATATCGTATGCAAATATATGTTATATTTTTTTTAATTTTTACGATACTGAGGTATACACATAAATACATTTATATTTTTTTAAACGAACCATTTGTTTCGTTCAACATTAGATTCGGAACGAAGCGATATAAAATATATAATAATATATTAATTTTCCTATGACAAATTTTCTACAAAATTTTCTTACAAAAAATGTTCTGTTAAAAATTTCGTTGTGATCCTAACCGTCAGATGTAGTTGCCGAGTTTTCTAGTTTAAATTTTGTCTTATGTACAATTGATTTTCGGTCTCTCAAAAAAGTGATAAAATTTGACAGATTCATTATAAGTTATTCTAATAGCGCTTTAAAAATATATCGAACATCAATAAAGTAACGATTTATTTTCAAAAGCGTTTAAGTTCAAAATTATAAAAACATGGTATTTCGTGTAATGTGATACAATAATATATAGGTACAATTTTTTTGGTTTCAAGCACTCAAGAATCGAGTTTAAAAATGCTTGAAAATTTAACAGGATATTTATATGTCATATTAATTACGGAAAAAAAAAGAAGAAATTTAGTGTATGTAGTATTATAGATTCTATATGGAATGAATAATATATTGGTTCTACAATAATGTTTATTATTTTTTCATTTTTTTTTTTTTATGTGAACATTTTTTCTACCAGAAAGCATACTCCAATTATCATGTAGCACCTTTCCTAAAAGGAAATGTTCTCTGGGTAGTATTTTAAAGAAGTAATTTTTTGAAATTCTCAATAATATTCAATATAATGAAGAAAACCTCGGTCTTTAGGTTAAACAGATTGAAAGATTAAAAATATGGTTGTCATTGGCAACCGTTTTTATATATTTTTGTTATTATTAAGTTTTTTTTTATTTTAATCTTTTTTAAACAATCATTGTTGTCATGGAAATGCACATTTATCAATTCACAATCATTTTATCATGATATGATATATACCATAATATATTGTATTGTTAATAAAGTAACACTATCATCTGAACTCCGCTCAGAATCAGTTTTCCGTTAGCATTGGTTTATCGTTGCTTACAGATGTACAATAAATTCCCGTCTATATCCTACTTTACTAACCTCTACTTACATAAGTGGCTGCACCCACGTACGAAGTATGTCCGTCCATTTTTTTGTTTTAAAATTTTAAAATCAAATTTTGACGAATATCGTAAATATTACGACATTTCAAAACATGTCTAATTGGGATTGTTTTTCGTTAACAATAGTTTATCGTTGGTTACAGCCATAAATAGTGATGGAAACAAGAACAAAACCAAGACTTTCAAAACCGTGGTCTTGGTCTTGGTTTTGCACATGAATCTTGTAAGACTCTTACTATTTCACACAATTTATATAAAAAAAAGTTAAATATATTTTATAGGGCTTGTTGTAAGGCGTATTATCAACGGACTACAAGTCCATGACACTAATTACCACATTATGATGTATAAGACACTAGTTAAGGTATACAAAATCCAAGATGGCGATCATATCGCACAAACTATGTACAAAACTAAAAATATATTTACAATAAAGATGATACCCACCGTATTTGTTTTTGTTATACTAATTTTAATAATTTACTATTTTCTCGAAATACCGATAGTGTTTAATAACAAGATAATATCTTATTATTTTCGTTATAAATTATTTAATCAAAACTAGATCCACTTATGTGTTTTCAGGAGAAAAAAAAGTCTTGTAGTGCTGGTCTTGTTTTGGTATGTATTAAAATTATAATATTTTAATGCTAAGTACATTTTTTTTTTTTTTTATTTATATTTTTAATTTATTTTTGGTAATTTCAGAATATTATCTAAATACTATTTTTTAATGAGTTGCGTAAAGATAATTCAAGTATTAACTAAACAATAATCGAATTATTGATTATGTTAAACTGTAAATAAAAAAAAAAAAAATCTTATTCCGTGAAACAATATTTGTGTTGTTTTTATAAAACTACGATAAAATAATTATACCATGTCATTTTGTAGTGAGAAAAAAAAATAAAAAAAAAAAAAACAAATTCAAATACATCCTTGTGGACTCGATAATCGCACGTATCGCGTATTATATCGATCCGTTTATATTAATATGCACTACGAATATATTTTATCGCCGTCGTCGCGTTAAAACGAAAACCGGGCTCTCTACGGCAAATTTCCGCAGCTCGGCACGATTATCCCGAACTAAAACAATACTTAAGTCTTGGCTTATTTTCTTTGGCGCGAAAGTCTTTATTTGTTTTTCGACGCACGTACATCGTGCGCCAAGTAGCAGAAGTTGCTTTGCTGCAGGAGCTACCGCACGAAATCCTGTGTACACGTAGTATTTCGAAACAGAAAAATTATTATTATATAGGTATCTACCGCTACTTACGTACACGATAAGGCTTGTAGATGCCTATTAACGAAGACCATAGTATAGGTAATAATATTGATAAAAAAAAAAAAAAATGTCTTTATTTCTACCGATAATACGTGATGCTAGAAAATAAAATAAAATATAGGTATTATTATTAGAAAACGAATATTATTTCGAAGTCACGTCAAGAGAACGTCTGCAGACGCAGTGGAATCTGCTGTCTCTGTTTTTCCGGAACGAGCTTATAACAAAAAATATAATCATACTAAACTGATAAAAAAGACCTTTAAAATCGGATTTAATTCACTAAAATTATTGTTAGCAAAATTGTTGGTAGAAAAGTTATCACAAAAAAAAAAAAAAAAAGCATTATAAAACCTGTAAATTCTTTGCTCCACTCGTAATCTAATACAGTAATACGTCGCACTATTCCTTAGTGTCATCAAGGTTATCTCTAATTTATTAAAAACAATTTGATTTTTGACTCAAAAGTACCATACCCTATATATGAGCCACTCATAAAAAAGGTGTTGAGTTTCGGGAAACCTAATTTCGGGGTGCACACGGAACCATTCACCTGATACTGTATGTAAATTTCCAGGCCTCTGTGTTCGATAGATTTTTTTGCAGAACTCACACAAAGAAATGAACAAACACTCCCTTTTATTATACTTTTAGTGTTATTATACTCGTAGATTGAAAAGAAAAAAAGTTACAGTTGTAAAGTACAATTACTGTACATTCGATAATGATCAGTTGTATGTATTGGGAATTTTAAAACGCCGATGAAATTATTGTCCTCAGAATTTTATAATAGGTATTTTATCTCGATTACCGATTTTAAAGATCTTTACGTTCGTTTTACGTGAACATATTTTTGCCCGTTTGAAAAGCAGCGACGGTAAAAGCCTATATGTAGACCTCTTAATCATGCAGAATAAATCCTATTAATGTATAATGTGTAGGTCTAGAGATTAAATATACCTATCTATATATTTTAAAAATGTCGCTGAGGATTTAATGGTGAATCCGTTACTTTTGAAACTATTTTCTCCTTTTTTTTTTTTTTTTAGATTCATTATCGGTTATATTATCATTGCGCGATTTTTCTCTCTTCGGGTTTTTTTTTTTTTTTTAATTAAACGGCGTTCGTATACACTGTCCGTAGACTTTTTAATTATTATCATCGCGTTATTCATAAGACCTTGAGGGATATTATTTCTAGTTAAATGATTAAAAAAAAAAAAAAAAAACCACAAATTTCAAAGCACTAACCCAGTATAAATATTATCATGTACCATCGCGTTTAAATTCAATAACAATAATAATAATGGACGAACACGATAGATTTAATGTGTATTTTTTTTTAGCCTTCAACTCTTTTTCTGAACATAAAATATAATATAATATAGCGTTTCCTCGTTCGTCATACGTTTTTCTCGCATTTATAAAAAATATATCGTAAAATTATATCGTTCGTCGTTAAAACAAAACAAAAAAAATCCCCAGATTGTAATTCATCCAGTTACTATATTGTGTTTTATTATCGGATCAATGGAGTGTTTGAACGCGATATTACACGAACATTTTATAAAGCGTATAATATGTTTGATTGTACAAAGTGGTTCTGAAAGACATTTTAACTATAATTTAAAAAATTCGCATTTATTTGTAAAACGACGACACGGGGTGGATATTAAAAAAAAATGTTTTTTTTTAATATACATCATTAGATTTAAATACACGATGTGTGTCATAAAATTACGTTCAGTATTATGTAGTATTAATATTTCTCTCAAACGTTGTTCATTATAATTATTATCGTCTCCTGTTATGAGACTCGTGACATTCGTGACATCTACATTCCGGGATTGATGATGATGACAACAAACAATGTGCGAGCGTTTGGAGATTCAGTCACATAAGTTATTTGAAAAAGCCATGAACGGTTATTTCCATCTCTCATACTGCCATATTATAACTAGTACAGAAATTGAGGAACAATAGTAAAACCATCAAGTCACGATACCAGCAACACGTAAGCGTCATTTGGAGTTTTACCAAAGACTATACATGTATATGACGTGTTTATATACACGTATAAAAACCATGAAAAACGGCGTAAATACTGCCTCTATCGCACATTGTAATACAGGTAAAACGGTCGTCATTCCTGTTCTAATTTTTAATGCTCCGATTGCCAACACGCACAGATTTAAAGCCTTATTATTCATGGATACTGTTATTTTGACACTGCCATGGCTGTACAGTTCGCCAATCGTTATCACAATAAGGCACATTTGACAGTAGCTGAAGCATAAAAATAAACGCTATGAAAACAATGTTTTCCTACTTATATGTTGTCTTTTCTAGTGTACAGTTCATTTGACAGCGTTTGACGTTGGCCGAACCACATATCAATTTTTTATCGGAAGAAGACTTTTGAATCACGCTGTACAACAATTTGAACAAAATATTTTCAATTAAAAATAATAAAACAAAACATT